GGAATTTAGAGCATCTCAGACCTTTCGATTATGAATCGTGGCTTGATTGTTGATCAAAGAATGGGGGGGTCAGGATTAAAGTTGACAGCTTTTTGGTGGGTTATTTGAGTTTGATTCTACTATGTAATGATTCACATCAATGCATCATTGATGGATCTGGTATACCTGTGCTTTTACATTGTCTTGCATAGTTTGCTATGTGAAAAGGCATCTGGCATCATCATTTAGACAATTATTTTCCTATATTTTTACTCAACTTGTCTACTTGCTGTTGTCCTTAGAAGCTCCGAAATTTAAATGAGTTTAATGGTTTCTTTTCTGGCTCCATAATGAATAATGTTTCAATTATGATTCCTATGCATTCCATCTCAAATTTATCGTTTAGGTGGGGGGTTAAATGTTATGCTTTTTACTTGAATGCTTTGACTGTTGTAAACAGTATGTGGGGTATGCTTAATTCACTTACATGTTATGTTATTATACGTACTAACTATTTTGAGTGTTGAATTCATTTATTTTGCAAATTTCTTTGAATAGGATCAGGCTAACTTCACTAGTTTTTATTTTTTATCTTACTCCTGGTCAGTAGTTTTATTTTTTGGTTTATTTAATGTATAAATGGAAAATTGGGGAGCATGAAGCAATCCTAGTTTCGTATTGTGTTGTAATTCATTAGTAAGGAAGATCAAATGGCACATGTTAAGGTTAGCTCGTCCTAACACATGTAGTTTCTGAGGAGAGATGTGGAGTATGCTAATTATATATTAACAACAAAATTTCAATTTAAAGAATGCACAAAGTCACGTATGGACACACTTGTATACCTGAAGGCTGCCATCTCAAAATAAGCTTTTTATTGGCATTGTGATTGTGATTGTGATTGTGATTGTGAGTCTACCCATGATTTGGGCTTGATAAGGACGTCAAAACATTTAGGTAGGAGGAGATTGTTACACCTCCAATCCCACAACGTGTGGTATGTGTGTGTGTGTGTTTTTTTTTTTTAAACGGCCGCAAGGAAAAGTCTGTCTGGTTGTGAGTGATATGTAAGAGACCTGCCATCGTTTTGCATAATTGGAAAATACTCTAATAATAACTAGGTTTTTTTCAAATCATGTTATTCCTGCCACAAAAGAGGCACTGCAATTGCCATGTGCTTAAGCTCATATATATTCAGTTTCTTGTTCACAGCATAAAATTAATTTTTGCAGCACTGATGGTTGACAAGTTTTATCATTTACAAATTCCCATAAACCTGAGAGTTTGTTGAGCAAATAGTTTCAATTTGTTCTACTGTTAATTTAGTTTTAATGCTCACTTATTTATCTATATGTCTCTGGTTGGACAATTTTTCTATGGTTGAAACTGCAGGGGATTTTTCAAAATGAAAATTAGCTGATCATTGACAAATGCTGTCTATTGATAAAAGAAAAATATGCTTTATTCTTAGAAAATGTAGCTTTTTTGGTACTTGGAAGTTGGGAAATCATTTCAATAACTTGTTAATGGTGTTTTAATCTTTTTGGATGTTTACTATTTTTGTTTTCATTTGATATTTAAACAGAGAGAACACTTGCCAATTAAACATAAATAATTCCTTGAGTTGTTTCTTGGGATCAATCTGCATGTATATCAAATTTCAGCTGATTTTAGTATCTTTAACCTGTTTTCAGATTTTTCATCACCAGCTCCATTTTAGATTTAACAATAGTGGGCTTAGATGCCATGGATGGGGAATCAAGCATCCAGGGTCAGCAACCACATTACTTGAAGACATGTTCAAAACTGAATCTAGATCTGGGCAGCATTGTCTACTTTTTAGGATATGCGGAGAAAGAAGATCTCATGGTAGGCGAGGGAAAGGTGGTTATAGCCACTGACAATCTCATAAAACTATCAACTGATGGAATCGCATGGAGCCCTGGGTCTGCTGGATTTGATGTGCAAGGGAATCTTGCATTCATGATCTGTGACCCTATGAAACTGGCTACATCTCCTAATACCAAATCCTCTTCAACAGCTTCTTCATCCTCATCATCATGGAAGAAGGATACTTCCATGCAGTTTGGCATCCCCATCCCCATAATTTGTGATTGGTTAAACCAGCATTGGGAAGGCAGCCTTGATGAACTTACTAAACCAAAGTTGCCAATTATTAGATTGATGTCCTCAGGCCAGAGGAGCGATCACTCTTGTGCTTCCTTCACAATGCGTCAGGTGTTTAAGCCTACAGAAGCAGATTATGATGGAACTCCATCTTCATCAAATATGATCTCAAAAGCTAGGGACCAACCAGGACCAAGCTGTTCCACTGCAACAAACACCATTGAAGAAGAGGTGGCAAAGTCTGATCTGCAAGCTACACACATGCAGGGAATCCCTACTCCAGAAATATATGAATCACCAAAGTTGACTGCAGTTCCTATGAAGATGAAAGATACTGGCCAAATGCAGCTTTTGGATATAAATTTCCCTTCAAGGGTTGTAAAAGCTGCAAGACTTTCACAGCCAGTAAAACGACTGCTGTTGAACTCTGATGAGAATGATGTCAAAGAACTTCCTCCAGGAAGCCCACCAAGACAAGAAAATAAAATCTGCAATAGAGGAGAGATCAGTTGTGGTGTAGATGCTGAGGTTTCCTCAACTGGTTCTGTAAATGGTGCCCAGGGTGAGGAACAGTCTAGTTCATCCCCTATTGAAGTTTCAGAGATGCAGAATGGGTATAGCAGTGAGGGTGAGACAATGTACTCTGCTGAAACTGCTGAGAGCCGAAACTATACCAGTCCTAGAGAAGGGAAGTTCCAACAAGTAGGAAGGAGCCAGAGTTGTGTTGGTTACAATAGATGGGGACCTGTTCAGAGGAATCCATTGGCTCGTAAGATATCAGTGGAACCACAGAGGAGCTTTGTTCATGGGAAAAATACATACTCGCAAGGGGCAACTTCTCAGAGGAGTAATGACTACTTCAGTCCCACGGTTTCCTCAATCATGAAGAAACGGAACTCAGAACAACCAAGTAGACCTCAGCAAAGCGCCATTCATTCATCCCCAAGATGGATGTTTTGATTTCTTCATCCCACCACACATATTTAGTTCTTTCTTTATATGGTGCCTAAATTGATAACCAATTACTTGCAGCGCAACTAATTTATTTCCACATGTGCAGATGGGAATAAAAAACCCTCAGCCAGGTTGGTTGTAGTTCTACCCAATGGTTGAAAATGGTTTTCCAAAATTTTTGGTGGAACGATTCCACCTACATTCTCATTTAAGAAAATTGCATTTTACTTGCATGTGATTTCAGGTGCACTGCACACGCAACCAGTTTCAAAATGTGCACGACCACCTGAGGTTTGCACCTACTTCTGAGGTTATGTAACTCGAATTCTTTTCCATAACCTTCCTTTGGTTCTAACTGTGACCATTCTTATTTTGCATGACATTTTGCATCTATAACCTGCTGCCAATTAATAATATATGATGATTACCAACTACTAGCTAGTATCTATCAACCAATTTTCTGTTCCCCATTCTTCATTATATATGTCTTATTGAATCAAACACTGTTAAATTTGACCCATTCTAAAATTCTGCTAGAATTATATATTGATGTGGATTATACTAAGATATTGGAGATAATTAATTTTTGAATAGGTTTATAGAAAATTTTTCTGAGTGCTCTAGCGCTTCCTTATAGAACCGAACAAATATCAAACCCCTGATTTCTTAGATCATTTCAAGGTGGTGGTTAGAGCTGGGCATTTTTTAACCGAATCAATGGTTTATCTGAAAACCGAACCAAAAAATGAATTTGATTCGGTTTTAATGGTTTTTGATTTTATTTTTTTGGTTTTGATATTAACTGAATACATTTTGGTTCGGTTTTGATTGAGTCTCTTAAAAATTGGAAACCAAAAATAAAACCGAAAATAGGATAAAATAGATAAAATATAATAAAATATAACAAAATATGATAAAATATGTGATAAAATATAATTTATTATTAAAAAAATTAATTAATATTTATTTAATAAAAACCAAAACCGAACCGATTTCATTGATGAAAATTGGTAACCGAATTGATTAGCTTATAACAATTTTGGTTCGGTTTTGGTTTTAGACCGAAACCGGTTTTGCCCACCCCTAGTGGTGGTGCAGGAGGAGGTGACGTCTTAAGAATACCGAGGAGCTAGTAGGATACCTAGAATATTGACGAGGCCATGAAAACACTTAAATCTGTAACAGGGTCTTTTTGAAAGGACTGTTTCTGAAAACTACTTTGTGCGTATTAATTGTTATCTAGGAGGGCAAAACAAAATGCTAAGCCCTCTAACCTACCCCATGTTGACTTGTAAGACTTAAATGAAGAAATGTGCAATTAAATCCTCAAGCCCCACCATCAGTGCAAATTGGTCCATAGATAGAGTCAGCCGATGAAAGCATCTGATCTGATACTACCAACGTCAATGCATTTTTTGAAAAATAGATAATTGTAATCTAGTCTTTAAAGTAATCAAATTTAAAACTAAAATAACTCCTATACCTTAATAAAGTATTAAAAATGGCTGATTTTCGATAATTCAACATTTTTTTCATTATTATTTCAACTTTGACATTAGTTGCAAATCGATTAACAAAGACAAAAATTTAGAATACCTAGATGTCAATTTCAATTAAAATTGATTAAAATTG